GCATAACTGTGGCCCATGCAGGTATCCAAGGCTACACCTTTGATCTGAGGAAAGTGAGAGGAGTTAAAGGAGAAGTTGTTCAAAGTGAAGATGAGCTAAGTCAGGCAGCGAAGGGTGGTGGCAAATGGGGGCGGTTCGGGTGTTTCTTCCAGGAAGAAGTGGAGAGTCCTAATATCTTCCAGACCAAGGAATTGACCTTGACTGAATGTTGCAGACTGACATATTCCAAGGTCCAGGACTGTGTGCTGAGGGATGCACTAAAGCTTGGGGCAGCTGCCACCAAGGCACAGTGGGGAAAGACCACCATCTAAAGTCTTTCAACCAAAGTACAATGGGGGTCACCGGGCCCGAAAAGTTAACTCTGATTTTTCCTTCACAGACGCTGCCAGGCCTGCTGAGCTTTTCCAGCAACTTTGTTTTTGTACAATGGGGGTCTATTCAGTTATTGGACCCTCCCAGTGCCTCAAATATAAGTAAATATAGATTTGTATAAGTATGAAATGCCTTGGGTTTGTTTATTAGATAGAGTCAAACTCCAATGTTTGTTTGTTCCTCCATTAAAACAGAACCTAACTGCTTTAAGGTAACAAGGTGTAGAGCTGGATGAACACACACGCCAAGCGGCATCAGAGTAGCAGGAAAGTTGACGTTTCGGGTCTAGACCCAAAACGTCAGCTTTCCTGCTCCTCTGATTATATCAGTGTGAGATTGGCAGGAAATATGTGACAGGTTTGATTCAGAGAAACTCACCACAATACTAGAATTTAAATATACATTGAAGTATTGTATTAAATATACATTGAGGAGTAGTGAAGGCACTAAAATGCTATTGTCCAATAAAGCTTGGGCAATAGTACTGTACAGAGTTGTTTGTGGCAGTAGTTTCGAAAGACTCAATACCTGAATTAGATTTTAATTTGTTTTGTATTTCCTTTACCATTCCTGTAGAGAAGAAACTTTCTTTCAGAAAAAGAACATTCTTTCAGCAAATCCCAAAATGGTGGATCTGAGCCACGAGAATCAGACCCTGGACAGGAAACAAGTGTGCCAGGTTGCAGTCTTCCCTGATGGATTTTCCAGTACCTTTCTTTGGACAAACCTCTGTCAGTCCAAATATGCTCCCCCATATCAGACTGAGAGTATGTATTTCAAAGTAGCTGCCTAGAAACAATGGACATATTCACTCCATGTGATTTTACAAATTATGACCTTGTTGCATAGACTAGGTGACATTCACATCCAACATTGTGGAAGTGAGAAACTATCAACAATGTTATCTTCCAAATGATACATTAAACCACAGATCTATCTGCCCTCTTGAGTGAATGTAAAGGAACCCGCGTCACTGTTCATGGAAGACCAGAAGAACTCTCGATATTTTGAGCATGACTTATCCTTCAAACAACATTACAAAAAAATCAGACTATCAAGTGACTGACCTCACTGCTATTTGTGGATACTCTTAAAATTTTTCACTAAACCCTCATAAGACTTTGATGTATTTCTTCCTAAAATTGACATGGTAGTAAATGTTGCCTTAGCCCAGTTCTAGAATGGTTGCATCTAAGTCAGGATGTTCAGGTTCAGGCGCCATACAGGACTTGAGCATATAAAGACTGACATTTCAGCGCAGTACTATAATGCTGGAGAAGCCACCTTTTGAAAACAATGTTGCATCAAAATCCTAAATTCTTTATCACTACAAGAGAACCCAGAGATATTGGTAACATGACAGGAAGATCTCCTGACTGACATTTCCCCTCAACTAACATCACCACAACAGATTAATCACTCAATCACATTATTGATATCAGTCATAAAAATTGGATTTTCTAAACTATAATAGTGATGAGTTGTCAATTTGCTTTGAAACTTGCTTTGGAACCTTCCATGTTCTACACATCTAGCTATAAACAAAACCAATAAAAATAAAAAAAATACAATTGTAATGCAAATACGAATACACAAAAATGGTCTCAAAATAGTGTGACACAAAACAGAGACCACAACAAAAACAGTACTGCAACACCAACCAGTAAATTTGAAGGAAATTGAACCAACTCCACAGGAAATGCAGAGAACAGCAGCAGAAGTAATTTCACAATGAATCAGCAATTCAATTCGATTGATTTTATCCACTAAAAACTTCTGTTTATTACCAGGCTCTCAATTGTCTCACCTGTTTCGTGCACGTCAGACATTAGGTAAACTGTAAAAGATTGTGGAATCAGTCTGCATGATTGTGGTGTTTACATAAGAATGTATGTCCCCTAGTATTATGACCATGTAGGTCCGTTATCTGCTTTAGGTATTCAGCTAGATAATCCATTCAAACATAACTGGGAGGTGGTGGTGAAAAATTATTGATAACAGATAGCCAAATCAGAATCCAAATTACCTAATGGCAGGCACGTACTAAATTAGGTAGAACAATTCTGTTTGGTGACAAACAGGAGTTTTACGTGGATAAAATGTGGCACCTTTCATATGATTTACAATTGTATTTTCTGCAGCTCTTTTAGTTTAAAAAAAATAATCCGACAATGTCTGTTGCAAACTTGGCATTGCTCATCTTTCCTCAAGCTGGAAGGTGGTTGCAAACTTTTCTCTGTAATTGCTGCAGTCCAAGCATTCCCATAATGTTTGTTGATGGAGAGTTCCAGGAGCTGGATTAATTTATTCATGGTATAACTTCCCTTGTAAGATAACAGTGAATTGGGTTGACTGCTTTTCATTCAAGCACGTTGGCATTCTATTCAGTTACTGGCACTTCTTTGAGGATTACTGTTGTGTCACATTGACTTTCTGGTTTGTCTTTTGGGATTGTGGGTTTTGTTGAAGACATTTTTTGAACGGATTTTGCTAAAGTGTTTCATAAGCATGTCTGGATTAATGACCAACATGTTTCTTTTAGAAGTCAAGATGTACACTGCCTGGTGGTTGACATGCAAATCTGTAGGAGCCACTACTGCGCACAAACTGTTCGCTTCAGGGAGATTGTACATCTCAAAAGCTCTTTACTGCTTTCAAATTATTTAACCTGTAGAAATTCTCCACTACAGATCCATGTGGCAAAAACTAGCAATTTGTCACCTTTATATATGCATAATTATATATGTAAAAAGTATGACATTGTTTATAATGTATATAGAGGAGGTGGTTTTGAGTCAGTTTTGCAACTTATAGTGTTCTATTTATTGTGTACAAACATTTTACAACATTTTTGTGGCAACTGTAAAGCACAGGTTATACAAAGGAATTTTATAAAACAAGTGAAAATTTAACACTGGAAAACTTTTTATCTTACTTGTCCGGAATAAATCAAGTAAGCATGCAATTAAGTCACTCTAGAATTCTTTTCTTTATTTCAAAAATAACTTCATTAATGAAAATATCTTCATATACATATATAGTTAATAAAGCAGTTGGCTATGTACAGTAACATACGGAGAAACAAACAAATATTGGAGTTTGACTCTATCCATAAAACGAACCCAAGGCATTTTGTGCTTGTACAAGACTATTTCCATACATTTGAGGCACTGGCAGGGTCCAATAACTGAGCAGGCTCCCATTTAACTTTGGTAGAAAGACCTTAGGTGGTGATCTTTCTCCACTGTGCCTTGGCAGCAGTAGTCACAAGCTTTAGTGCATCTCTCAGCACGTAGTCCAGGACGTTGGAACATGTCAGTCTGCAACACTCGGTTGAGGTCAGTTCCTTGCTCTGGAAGACCTCTGAAACTGCTGGGAGCTGACAGGTTTGAATTTACACTTGATCTCCAAATCAAAAGACTGTCATATGAGAAAAGATTGGATCGACTGGGCTTGTAACTCGCTGGAATTTAAAAAAGAATGAGGGGGGGATCTCAGAAACATATAAAACCCTGATGGGACTGGACAGGCTAGATGCAGGAAGAATGCCCTTGATATTGGGGAAGTCCAGAACTAGGGGTCACAGTCTAAGAATAAAGGGTAAGCCATTCAGGACTGAGATGGGGAAGAATTTCTTCACTCAGAGTTGTGAACCTGTGGAATTCTTTCCCACAGGAAGCTGTTGGGGCCAGTTGGTTAGATGTATTCAAGAGTGAGCTGGACATGACCCTGGCAGCTAAAGGGATCAAGGAGTATAGAGAGAAAGCAGGAATGGGATAATGGGATTGCATAATCAGCCATGATCATATTGAATGGTGGTGCAGGCTCCAATGGCCAAACAGCCTACTCCTGCACCTATTTTCTATGTTTCAAATGATAAAGACACCCACCCAAAGCCAGCAAGGTCCTTTTTAACATGCGTGTGATGGTTTCCAATACTATCATTAAGACCCAACTATAATTTGCTCCAGGAGTCTCTCTGCAGGCCAACACAATTGTGAAAAGAAATCCAAGGAAGTTTTTTTTTTAATTTTAATGTTCCTTATGGAAGTAACGAGATGTCATTCCTCCAACAGCCCACTAGGGAAGCTTAAGCCTCTCCTGCCACTAACTCAAATCCTCCACACCCAATCATGAGAGGGCCTTGTAGATAATCCCAAAAGTTACATGCTGGCAATAAAGATCAAGTGCAAGGATCCAATTCTAACTCTGCTCATGGTGGCAGGTTTTCACACGGGTTAAAATTTGGCCTTGAGAATGTAACAGAAAACTTTCTCTGCCTTCTGAAGTTGGAATATGCAGTGTATAACTAGGAAAGTCTCATAAAATACATAACAATCGGCAATCTTCCCATTATACTTATTTCAGAGTATGATCCCAACCACAGCACAAATGCATGTTGTTTTTATCAGTAGCTGTTACTCAAAACCAGTATCTGAAAAAGAAGCAAAATAAGAAACAGGAACCACTCAATCAATTAGAAAAGTTTACATATTCTAAAAAGTTTAAAAGATTAAATATCAGGATTCTTTAATATCCCCAGAATATATTGAATGTGAAATCATTTGAGAACTACAGGCAAACACACACAACTGAAATAGAAACAAAATTCACAGAATTTCTTGGATGCATTAAACCTGAACCAGAAACATTAAACAATCCTACTTGTCTTTAGACAGGACTGTTGCTTGAAGAGAATGAGCTCTTTTGCGGAGGTATTTTCTTTCCTGGAAATAATGCAGACAATGAGGATATGCCAGTAAGTGCAAACACAAAGGGCTTGGCCATATTACAGAATGAGAAAAAGACAAATTTCACAAGCACTGTGGGTGTGTAATTAGAGCAGATGTAGCGCAAATGAAGATGACTTTTTTTTGGTCTGTATGCATGGGGAGTTTAATAAATAACTTATTTCTAGACATCAGCCTGCTCCTGCCCCACAGAACTCATTTCTTCCTACCCTGACTTAGTCTATTCTCCCTAGGTCCAGTCCTTGCCCACTTATATCCGCAATTCCTCTGACGCTTTACACCTGTTTCGAAATTTCCAGTTTGCAGGCTCCAGCAGCCTCCTCTTTACTATGGATGTGCCATCCCCTTACACGTCCATTCCCCCACCAGGATGGTCTCAGGGCTTTCCGCTTCTTCCTGGACCAAAGGCCTGAGCTGTCCTCACCCACCACCACCCTCCTCTGCTTGGCCAAGCTCATCTTCACCCAAAACAATTTCTCTTTTAACCGGTCTCATTTTCTTCAGGTCAGAGGGGTGGCCATGGCTACCTACATGGGCCCCAGTTATCCCTGTCTCTTTGTGGGGTACGTGGAACATTCCTTGTTCCAATCCTATTCTGGCCCCACCCACAACTCTTTCTCCAATATATTGATGATATCATCAGTGCTGCTGCCCTCTCTCGTCCGGAATTGGAAAAGTTCATCGATTTCGCTTCCAATTTCCACCCCGCCCTCACTTTCACCTGGTCTATCTGATTCCTCCCTTCCTTTCCTCAACATGTCTGTTTCCATTTCTGGGGATGAACTGACCACTAACATCCACTATAAACCTACTGACTCCCACAGCTACCTGGACTATACATCCTTGCACACTGCTTCCTGTAAAGACTCCATTCCATTCTCCCAGTTCTGTTGTTTCTGTCCCATATGTTCCAATGAGGCCAACTTCAACAAGGGAGCCTACAAAATGTCCACTTTATTCCTCAACTGAGGATTCCCCAGCACCGTTGTCAACAGGGCCCTCAATGAGGTCTGACCCCACCTCCTGTGCTTCTGCCGTCACCCCCTCTCTTCCCTCCCACAACTGTGATAGGGTTCCCTTTGTCCTTAACTACCATTCCACCAGCATCCACATCCGGAAGATCATCAGCTGCCATTACTGCCACCTCCAGTGAGATACTACCACCAGACACATATTCCCCTCCCCTGCCTTGTCTGCCATCCACAGGCACACTAAGGTCCATCATCCTTCACTCCCAACATATCCCCACAGCCCCATGGCACCGACCCCTGCAACTGAAGGTAAAACACCTGCCCATTTACCTCCTCCCTCTTCAGTATCCAAGGGCCCAAACATAACTTCCAGGTGAAGCAGCACTTTACCTGCACATCTCACAATCTAGAATACCGCATCCACTGCTCACAATGTGGTCTCACCTACAGTGGAGAAACAAAGTGGAGACTGGGTGATTGCTTTGCAGGACACCTGTGTTGGGCTTGCAAAAAAGACCCTGAGCTTCCAGCTGCCTTCCACTTTAACACACTCACTGTTCCCTGGCCAACACCTCTGTCTCAGGCTTGCTGCAGTGTTCCAGTGAAGTTCAGTGCAAGCTAGAAGAACAGCACCTCATTTTCCACCTGGGGACCCTGCAGCCCTCTGGACTCAATATCGAGTTCAATAATTTTAGGGCTCGAACACTCCCATGTCCTAACACCCTACCCCACACACCAGGTCTTGTTATCATATGGCCTGCCATTACATACTACCTATTGTTAGCCACTAACAGTCTCCATTAACACCCTCTTAGCCAGATTGTTATCCACTCCTTTGTCTGTCCAACTGTACTTCTCTCTCTTTGGCCTCAATCCCCACCTATTGTTTATTCCAGACACCCTCCCCCCACCCTATCTTCTGCATATAAACCAACATTTTCCTAGCTACCATCAGTTCTGAGATAGGGTCACCGGACCTGAAGCATTAACTCTGTTTTCTCTTCATAGATGCTACCAGACCTACTGAGCTTTTCTAGCAAATTCTGTTTTTGTTTCTAGACACATGACTTTTTAAAACAGATTGAGTACCTGGGATGATACTGAGGATTTGTTCACATTGGGACAGTTTTACAAGTGGACATAGTAAACAATGAGGAGTATAAATTTGCTTTTGGTTTAAAAGGATTTTGTTTTTGCTTAAGGAAAAAGCCCATAGTTTGAAAAGTTTTACACAAATGTCCCAGTGGAAGTTAGATGTGTGAAAAAGCATCTGCTGAAGAAATGAATAGTTTAGACCTATTAAGAAATGCATTACCTCAGTGTAAGGATTTTAGTTTGAAATTTCCAGATCAGAAGCATTGGGTTAGAACCCTGAAGAATTAATTCAAAGTTGAGAAAGTATAAGATCAGTTGTGTGACTAATCAAGGAAAAGGCTACGTAATGTTCATGACTGGGAATTGAAAGAAACAATTAAGTTAAACTTTATAGATGTGATAAAGACACAATTGCTCTGTGGTGTGTGTAAAGTGATGTCATGTTTTTACTGTATTTTTAAATACTTCAAATTGTATTATAAGTAGCTTGGCTTTATATTATTTTATCTGCTTTTCCTTTGCATAATAAATTTCTGTTTTATTGCTAAAACCAAATCTGCAGCATTGTGTGTTCATTTAGTGAAAGACCACCTTGTTGGTCTTAAAAAAAGTCAAAATATGTTCTATCAAGCCAGATTTCAGTCTGGTATCTGACTTGACAATAAGAAAATCAGCTGGAATAACAACAGCATTCACAGTTGAAACAAGTTTCAAACAGAACAATGAAATTATGAATTCTAGTTCCACAAGCAAGTCATATATAGGAATAAACCACAGCAATTATGGTGTGTCATCATTTCAACTTCCACGAATGAGATTGCACAGCCGCAGGCATTAGAAAAGACTAATCCCAGACACAGCAATGCTTGCTCAGAAAAATATAGCGATGGGTGTAAGATAGCCTTACCTGTTGAGACAGACACTCAAAACGCCCAATATTACACTTGCTATTATATTTTCTGTCAATGATTACTTTGATAGTGTCTTCCTGTACATTAGCACACAGTATGGCAGTAACAGATGTAGAATGTGACATGCTTGGACTCAAGTTGATCTCAATTAGCCAGGGTTTAAAATCTTCTCCCAGCAAGAAATCAGCACCATATAGTCCAAAATTGTTTTTGCGTGCTTGCACAATGGCCTGAACCGTCACCAAAGAACAAATGATAGCCTTTTTCATGGAAGGGTAGACCGTCTCCTGCCAGATGTTGTCATGGCCTTTAATTCTTAAATAGTCTTGGAACTCATTACTTGACCACATGTTCTCTTTTGGCACCAGTGGGTTACGATCAGCAGAGGGTTTTAATCGCTTCTGAATGGCATTGTTGCAGAGGTGCACTGAACTGCAGAAAAATAAACAGCATTGCATTCATTTTACCAGAGATTTTGCATAAACTAGGCTACTTAATTTTAAAACATCACGTTCCTAATATAGCACTGAAAGTAGTTGTGGTGGCGTACAGTACTGTCAAGGCAAATGTTCTGAGGACAAGGGTTCGAACCTCACCATGGCAAATAATTAAATAAAAATCTGGAATTAAAAGTTAGTCTAATTGTGACTTTCAAACGTCATAAAATCCTATTATTAATGTGCTTTAGGGAAGGAAATCTGCCCTCCTTACCTGCCTGGCCTACACATGACTCCAGACCTAAAGCAATGCAGTTGACTCTCAACTGCTCTCTAGGCAATTAGGCTTGGGCAATAAATGCTGGTCCAGCCAGAGAACCCATTTCCCATGAACAAATTATTTTACAAGTCCAGTTCATGAAAGTAGTGGTGAATTTAGCATGCCGAAAGAGCAGTAGGGCCCATAACTCTGTTACCATCTAAATGTCTTGCTGAGGCACCAGAGTCATCAGCATTAAAATGAAGGCAAACAATCATACGAGAGAAAAAGGATGAGAGAGTTATGAAGAGAGATGACAGGTGGTCACCATTCTCAACGTTGTTGCTGGGACAAGAGAGCTACTAGCCATTTGTTTGCCCAGCAGCTCATAGATGTGGGACATTCTCACAGGTGGAAACATATGTCCCATTTCATAACCATAATTTAACCATAATTTGCAGGGCAAGCCAAGCAAGTAGATATAGGCTCACTTCTGGGTTTGAGACTGCTGGCAACAACTATTGTCATGCAATGGTTTCAACTGTCCGTATATAGCTTGGGTTTCAAAAATGCCTATTCTATATAAAGGATGAGCCACTTTCTTATCTCCTGTTAAAGCCATTCAACTGATATACACACCTTTAATGTAGCCACTGCTGGTTGGGATTCCACAGAATCAGAATCATAGAACTGCTGCAGAGCAGGAGGAGGACATTCAGCCCATACTGAGAGTACTGGCTCTCTAACTGACCATCTCATTCAGTACCATCTTTCTGCCTTTGTTCCACAACCCTATGCATGCTTTCTCTTTTGTTAACCATTTAATTCCTATTCAAATCCCTCAACTGAACATTCTCAGGCAGTGCATTCCAGGCCTTAAGCCCTCCCTGTACGACAAAGCTTTTTCTCATATCACTCTTGTTTCTGTAGCTTCTTACTTTAAATCTGTGCCCTCTCATTCTTGATCCTTTCATGAATGGGATCAGTTTCTGCATAGCTACTTTGCTTAGGCTCCTCATGATTTTGAATACCTCTACCAAATCTCCTCACAGCCTTCTCTTCTCCAGGAAAATCAGTCCTAACTTCTTCAATCTATTTTCATAACTAACGTCCCTTATCCCAGGAACCATTCACAGAAATCTTTTGCGCACTCTTCCTTTGCCTTCATAGCATTCATAAAGTCCAGTGCCCAGAACTGGATGCAATACTCCAGCTTAGGCTGAACTAATGTTCTTATATTTCAACCTAACCTCCTTGCACTGCCCCATTCATAAATTTGAGAATACTGAAAGAGTTATTCTAAACTTGTCAAGCTGTTCTGTGAAATTCAATGACTTCTGTATATCTACATCTAGGCCTCATTGGATACGGAGATAGGATAAGACGAAGTAAGGTAAGAGAAGATTCATGTGGACAGGCATTACATTGCAGCCAGTCTCCTTGTGCCCTCATTGCAGTGATGATCACTGCGTTGTCAATACAAGTCTGAATCCTTTTCAAGGACTTGCTATGGGAACTATTTCTGTTGCATCTGCAACAAAAGCTGTCAGTTCTCTGTGCTCTACTCCTAGTCTTTTTCTGCTGCTCCTACACATCTGCTTGAAATGCTCCTCTTTCTTGAAATGCCTCCTGCCTTGCTAAAACTTCTTCAAACTGCAAGCCGACCCCAGATGCATTCTCTACGGCTTCCCAACACTGGTACCTTGACAGTGTTCCCAAGCCCCAGATCTCTTCAGAACTGATAAAACCCAAAGCTTCTTCAGTGCTTCTATTGTCCCTGAAGTACTCCCATATCCACCCCACATTGACACATCCTCCAATATGTCCATGTTTAACCACACTGCATGCTCTGAAGGCTCCAGTACCTGAATCCTATCCCTCATGGGTATTTGCAGATCAACCTTTCATCTCAAATCGCTCCCAGGCCCCATTTCCCTGCAGCTACTATATGAATTAAAATATTCAGGAACAAACAGGCAGATGGGTAGTACGATGCAAACAAAAAATGTCAGCACTAAGCATAGACAGAGAGAGAAGTAAAAGAATAGAAGACAACTAGGTTGGCTCAGATAGTGACAAGGGAAAGAAATTATAAAGCAGCAAGTCAACAAGATATATAATTGAAAAAAAAAGCCTGTTTTACCCTAATTTTGCCCAGGGCCAACTGCACAGCAATCAGTTCCAATTATAATGAAGCAAGTTCGTTGCCACATTGTCAGCTGTACCATAGGAAATCCCCTAACATGATGTGTGAGTTGATATATTCCTGATCTTATCACTGAGAAAGGCTGTTATTCATGTAATATACATTTCTTGCCTGCAATGCCTTTCATAGCTATAATCGCTATTCCTGATTTACTGTTTATGATCCAATCTCTAATTGTAACATGTCACAATTAAATTCCTGTTTTGACAACTTTGTGATAAAACAGATTTCTTATTCATTCTCACGATATGGGGTGTGGATGTTATTTATGTATTGCAAATGAAGCTTAGCTATGTGTAAGCATCAATGGGCAGCTTCTCCTCTCTTCTTTTAAAATTCACTTGTGGGACATGGGTTTCACTGGCTAGGAATTTATTGCCCATCCCTAGTTGTTCTTGAGAAGGTGGTGATGAGCTGCCTTTTTGAACCTCTGCAGTCCATGTGCTGTAGGTAGACCCACAATGCTGTTGTGGGAGGGAGGAAATTCCAGGATTTTGATGCACGATATATCCAGGATTTTGAACAACGATATATTTCCAAGTTAGGATGGTGAGAGGTTTGGAGGGGAACTTGCAATTGGTGGTTTTCCCATGTATTTGCTGTCTTTGCCCTTCTAGATGGTAGCGTCATGGTTCTGAAGATGTCATGTAAGAAGCCTTGGTGAGTTTCTGCAGTGTATCTTGTGGATGACACATACAGGTACGCCTGAGCATCAGTGGTAAAGGGTGTGGATGTTTGTGGATGTGGTGCCAATCAAGTAGGCTGCTTTGTCCTGGATGGTGCTAAACTTCTTAAATCTTGTTGGAGCTGCGCTCATCCAGGCACTGGGGAGTACTGCATCGCACTCTTGACTTATGCCTTGCAGATGGTGGACAGGCTTTGAGAAGTCAGGAGGTAAGTTATTTGTTGCAGCAACCCAATCTCTGATCTGCTCGTGTATCCATTATATTTATAGCCCAATTTTTGGTCAATGGTAACACTCAGGGTGTTGACAGTGGGGAATTCTGTGATGGTAATATTACTGAATGTCAAGTGGCAGTGTTTAGAGATAGTCATTGCCTGGCATTTGGGTGGCACATACGTTACTTGCCACATTTCAGCCACGCCTAGATGTTGTCTAGATCTTGCTGCATTTTGTCATGCAGAAAATGTCTTTGATGAGCCAGTTGAAGTTACTGGGCCCTGGTATGAGACAAATCACCTGAAATGGCTTCACTTCTTCCAATATTACCTCAGATGTTCTCAAGGATCTATACTTGGCATCCTCCCTGTTTCTCATCTGCACGCTGCATTCAGATGATGTCATCAACAGGCAGAGTGTTAGTTTTCAAGTGTATGCTGAGGAAATACAGCTTGACCTCACCACTACCTCTCTCAACTCCTCTATAATAATGAAGTGCTTCAGGAAGTTAGTCATGGCTCACATCAAATAAAGTCTCCAGCCTGCCTCAATCCCTTGCAATTTGCCCAGCAGCACAACAGGTCCACAGCAAATGCCATTTTCCTAGCCCTACACTCATCCCTGGAACATCAGAATAATAAGGATACCTATGTCAGGCTTCTACTTATTGACTACAGTGCTGCCTTCAACATTATAACCCCAACCAAGCTAATCTCCAAACTCTGAGACCTAGGTCTCTGGTCCACTCTCTGCAACTGGATCTTCAGCTCCCTGACCCACAGACCGCAATCAGTGAAGATAGACGATGGCACCTCCTCCATGACAATCCTCAACACCAACACCCTGCAAGGATATATACTCAGCCCCCTACTGTTCTCCCTGTACACTCATCCAAACGCCACCTACAAGTTCACTGATTACATCATCGTTATAGGCCAGATCTCAAACAATGATGAGACAGAATACAGGAAGGAGATAGAAAGCAATCTCTCCTTCAATATCAGCAAAACTAAAGAACTGACCATCGACTTCAGGAAGAAAGAGGGAGGTCATGTCCCTATCGACATCAATGGAGCTGGGGTGAAGAGAGTGGAAAGCGTCAAGTTTCTAGGACTGACCATAACTAACAATCTGTCCTGGTCCTCCCAATCAGATGCAATGGTCAAGAAGGCACAACAATGCCTCTTCCTCCTTAGAAGACTAAGCACATTTGGTATATCCATAAAGGACTCTCAGCAACTTTTACAGATGTACAATAGAAAGCATTCTGTTTTTGGTGCATAACGGCTTGTTATGGCAACTATTCTGTGCAGCATCGTAACAAGCTACAGAAAGTTGTGAACACAGCCCAGTTGGTCAGCAAGCCAACCTCCCATCCACGGACTCCACCTATACTTCTCATTGCCTCAGAAAGGCAGCCAACATCAAAGACTCCTTCCACCCCCAGCTATACGCTCTTCCAACCTCTTCCATTAGGCAGAAGATATAAAAGCTTAAACATACGTACCAACAGGTTCAAGTACAGCTTCTTCCCTGCAGTTATTAGGCTGCTGAATGGACCTCTCTAATTTCAAATCAATGTTCATCTTGCTTTTGTGCATCTCCCATGCAGCCGTCACTTATATATCTCAGTCTGTTTAAACACCCCATGATTTGTATGTCCTTGTTTGACATGATCTCCCTTACTGCATACAAAACTTTTCACTGTACTTAGGTACATGTGACAACAATAAATTGAAACAAATCTTTGTTGCAAACTTATCATGCTGCTCGTTCAACATCCAGTAATGGATGAGCAGAAATTTATTCTGATTAAATACTGATGCCATCTTTTTAGGTCTCCACTGCAAACTCCTTTTTCGAGCCACAAACTCCAACTCGCTTCCTGCAACAGTCTAAAATTAAGGCTGGGGTCACATCTGGCCCACATTTGACATTTGCATACTTTGAGCATTTTCAAACTCACATTTGCACCATCACTAGGATAGCCTATTTTCATCTCAGTAACATCAACTGATCTGCCCCACGTCAGCTTGTCTACTACAGAAACCCTCATCCATGCCTTTTTTACCTCTAGGCATGAATATTCCCAACTATCCTGGGTGGTCTCCCATGTTTTATCTTCTGTAAACTTGTAGTCATCAAAATCTCTGCTGCCCGAGTCTTAATGAAATAACTCCAGAGAGTCTGGCATCTCGTCACCAGGTCGCCCTTTGCTTACACATGGAGGATCCTTGACACTGATCCAGCTCCCTTAGAGCCAGCTCTCAGAGTGAACTGGTTGTCTGACACTCCTGTTCTTTTTCTTTTCGCTCAGGAATGGCACCTAAAGTTATCCCAATGACCCTGCAGCTTTTACAACTCAGCTATGAATAGACCCATCACTTGTAGTGACCACCAAACTGATGAGCTCACAAATCAAATACTCACTATTTGGTCAGCACCTTTTCTGCAGTGATTTATGCTTCTGCTATCCCAATGCAGATATAACTTCTGCACTGCTTCATGTCTTGTCTGAAGCTTCTTTTCCCCTGTGGTTTACATGTCTGCATCACGCCTTTGTCATTTGGAAAATCACCACTTATCACTATGTTGAATTTCTTTGTTATTTTCACTAACACAGAATTACCACTTTCATTTTGGTTTGATAAGCAACTTAGGCTTAATTTACCTGAAAATCTTGATCAGGTTCACTTAACAACCAACTGATAACGTGGAGTCACACAGCGATGTCTGTATACATCCTTAGTCTAACATACTATTGTTTAGAATGCCTATGATTAATGGTCATGTGGTGTCATCTGGTCCAAAGCCCATTAGCAGCCTCAGCCCTTAACCTGGCTAATAATCAATTGCCATTAAATACTGTTTGGAAAGTTAGATGCACTTAGTGGACTTCAAAATAATTCTACAGAGGCCAGTATCCCGTCACCAAGTCACCCTTAATTTACATGTGGAGAGTTCTTGACACTGACCCAGCTCCCTCAGAGCCAGCTTCTCAGAGAGAATAGGATCTCTGACACTCCTGTTTATGTCTGTCAGCCAGGGCTCCCTAATTGGACCAGATTAACAACCCCAATCAGAGAACTCATATTCTATGATATCCAGCTGGCTGACCTCATTACAGTCATTACAGTTAACTCACATAAGTTCCAATCCCTTATTTTTCTTGTATTTGCTGACCCACATTGCCTCCCAGTTGAGTGACATTTTGATTTTGAAAGTCTCATCTTTTGTCAAGTTTTCCTTTCTCCATCCCTACCTAACTCTGCAATAGCCTGAAGCCCCACCAATCATCTTAGATATCTGTGTTCCTCAAATTTGGGCATCTTGCATATCCCAGGTTTTAACCACTCCACCATTGATTCAGACACCTTCAGCTGCCAAGGCCGTAAAATCAGGAACAGGCTCTTCACACCTCCCCACCTCTCTGTCCCAATTTCCTCCATTAAGACTCTCCCTAAAAACTATTTCTTTGACCAAGCTTTAGTTTATCTGATATAATATCTCCTTCCATTTCCCCCGACCCTGATCTTCACTGACTTCAGTGTCTAGGATTTAGTAGTACAATCAAACATGCTGCCCTAATGTTAAGAACAATCACTGTCATCACACCCAGCATTTTGCCTCTATTATCCATGTTTTCATAAATGAACAAAGACTATAACTATGTCAGGCGCTTATTGGATCTGATAGAATGCACTAGCTGTTGCAGCTTGATAATGCTGTTGACATCACCTTCCATCAGTTTGCTACTGATTAACCTACTCCTAATGTGTCAGTAATTGAGCAATTGATAGCTATTGGCTCATATCCTGCCCATCATGGCTAGCATATACCTGAACTTAACAGAGATGGAGCTGGGAAAATCTGGCATTTTAGCTGCTAGATATGAATCTGTAAACATGACTAGTCAGGCTGTTCCTTGTCTTGTCTGTGACATACCACTATCAGTATTACCATCATTACCAAGAAATCAATCTTTCCCTTCTTACTAGAATTTGATTCTCATCATGGAATTTCTAGGCACTTCAGAGGGAGGTTGAGAGCCAATTATGTTCTTGTGAAACTATAGACAGATTAGGTAATGGCTCCAGGTTTCCTTCTCTAAAGGACATCAATGAACCAGTTAGGCTTTTACAACAATTCAACAATTGGTCACCTTTACAGCTATCAACATGTTTCCAGTTTAACTAGTGTGATGCAGTTTTAAAACTTACATTCTCTCAAATATTTGCCCAAGCCTCTGGATTATTGAAAAGCCATTGAGCTGAAATATTGTATAGACTTTAACTCCCACCATCTCTCAGGAGGTGAATGGGGACATACAATTGGGAAGTAAGATTAGAGTAGGGGGGTTGGAAAACCCACTGCCTTCCCACTACTGTGTCCTACTACAGGATAATATTACAGGGCAGGGAAGATTGGGGATGGTTTTCTGACCATTTAAGGTCCTTAAGTGGTCACTTAAAAGTTTCATGCATTAACTGATATTCTACTTGCGGGGGTGGGGGGAACTGGCCTGCACCATGTGGACAGTCTGTCCAATAAAAGGTAACAGCTTCCTAGCTGACTTAGGGTGGGACCACCTGAGTGGATAGCTGGTAGCTCATGAAAAGTCACTGTTTACAAGGACTTGCTCCACGAAAAGAGACACCAAGTCGTCTACCACAAACCTCCTCACTCCACTCGCCAGAGCTTGCTTAGCTGGCCCTGGTGAGTCCAACTGACTCATTAGCATTCTTGGTGCTCCATGTAGCCCTCCTGCATTACTACAAGTGGTCACCCTTTCCAGTGGTGCTGTTGGGACCAGCAGGAATTCTGGGTGGGATTTCTGTCCTTAAAGGCAGAGAAATCTGATGACAGGCAAGTTAATGGCCTGAATGACATTGAATTTCATCAGTGCTTCCAAAAATGACACAGCAAGGTTGTCCTCTGGATTTCTAGCGACTGGACCAGGCCACTACTATGGCGATCAATTGAGCCTTGTTATGTATCCAAGGATACAATGGATCTGCTGAATATTTCCAGAATTTTTTGCCTTCATTTCAGATTTCCAGTATCTTTGATATTTTGCATTTTGGGTCACGTGTCCAGTAAATCAGTACAGTTCCATGCCATAAGTAACTTCAAATATGTTGGAAACAATCTTTTCTTTTTAATTGCTTTACCTGTCTAGGTTTTCGAGTGTGAAAGGCTGTGTGGAAAATCTTAAGTAGCAGTCCTTATAGAACCAAATGTTTATTGGGTTCCAGTCTGTGACAAGAAACCACAATCTGATGTCGAATTTAGTATCATAAATCAAAAGAGGCTTCTCAATATACTTCTGCACAACCCACTTGGTGTTTTTTAAAGAAGGGTCAAAGTCCTTCAGTTTTAGAAACTCATCCAGCCTGTCTACACATTTTATTCCTGTAAATTCAACATTCAAAAAATATTTCATTAGGAAGGCTCTAGGGTTATAAGGTTTTAAACATTTTCTAACTCTATAGTCATTTGGTAGTACAGAACTTGAGTATTGCTGAAATAAAAGACCACATTTTGACGAAGCTTTTCATCATGCACCCATCAAGAAAACTTGCAAGATTAAGTGTAAACAGATTATTCTGGTGACTTTGTAGGACATGTAAAATGAGAAAAATAAACATCTTATTACTATTTCACTGTACTTCACAATAGAGCTAGTTGGAAAATATTTTCAACAAAAAAAATTCTGACATCTCAGAGTTTAGGGAGATTAATCACCCTAACCATGTTGTCTTTGGTAGTACCAGCCATAAAATAGCCACTAACACATAGATTTGGCTTCTAATGAAATTACTGGTAATGGAACTGATGCTATGAAATATTTGCTTTAGGTGTTTCATGCAGTTTAAAGGTCATGTGGAAAATGTTTACAAATGGTCACCAACAAGATAAATTACAATAAGCCAAATCAATGTAACTGATTCTTAAAACTGATATGGGCTTGATCCATGGTGCCCTATTTTCTAAGAAATGTCAGTCAACCTGTACAAGCCCTTTCATAATGCAATCCTAAGTTATTTGCCATTTTTTGTACTGCAATTGATTATTGAAGACTTATTGAATGATTCATTATTGAACATACATTGACATGTTTCTTTTCAATATTTGTGCTGCTGACTCAGAGACATTGGTAGTGCTTGCCTTTGCAACATTAAAGCATTTAGAGCCCTTTCAATCGGGACCTGATCAGGGAAGATGTGGAAGGCTCCTCTGATGCTGCTTGGCCTGCTGTGTTCATCCAGCTCTACACCTTGTTATCTCAGATGTGGAAGGCTGATAGCCAGCTATTGGAAGGAAGACGACGACATCCAAAGTAATTGGAACTCTTTCCTTTCTGGGAGTAACAGGAAATGGTGTGCACTCATGAGCTCCAATAGGAAAGTCATAGCCTCCCCTTTCCCAAAAAGCCCTCCTTGTGACTTAACTGGTTAGCAGAAAACCTTCCGCTGCATTGGTTTATACTCTCTAGCACATGAACTCTGCCAATCGGCTAGGTATTGCTTTCTAGCTGTTTTGAGTGGGTGGCCAATTTATAGCTAAGGCCCAAAACTTAAAATAAACTGGTCCTGAGATTTAACCTAGTGGGTGCATTTTGTGTTTATGTGTCCTTGTCATCTTGAAAACTGCTAGACGTTAAAATGATCCCATTATTAATACATGCTTGATATTCTACACAAATATGTCAGTTTGGTTGGCCATTTTCTCTAGACAGTGAAATAATAATGCTGACACTTCTCGACAGGTGTTTCCACCTGTGCAACTATTATATTCCTTTACAGCATGTCCTCTATTTTACTAAGAGCTATAACCATGTGAATAGCGCAGCCAAATTTATTGAATGTTACCTCGGCCCTGTGACTTTGCAGCTGGTTTGACAATCCAGATGTTTCTGATACCATCAATTTCCAACTGTGGATGCACTGATTTTAGTCTATTCAGAATGTTCTGGCAATCAATTAAATAATTTTGTGAACCAGGAATTGTAGCTTCATTGCTGAAGAAACACAAATGAAAAGGAAGAAAAAAGTCTGGGCACCTCAAAACATTGATGCTTTTGACTTAGTCTCTATAAGGTGTTATAATTTCATATGTTCATTACAATATTCAGCTTCAGGTCAGGATACTTGACCTATTTTGAACAGACATCAGTGCCCAAGTTCAAAGAGATGGGCTGGTTAACCACAACTTAAGCATGACATTTTACTTTTCACTTAACAAACAGACATCAGAGGCTTCAAGTACAGATAAGATTCATAATCTGATGGCCTTGCCTATACAAGGCAACACCTTACTTAAAAAGAAAACAAATCAACAAAATCAGTTGCTCTGCAAAATAGAAAAATATTTGCAGTGAAATGAAAGCTTGCTGATACTGTAGTAACTGGCCACTAGGAAGGTTTTCACATAGGTATCAATAACATGCACTTTGAATATTTACTTTGTTCTTCACCATCTAGCAGAAATCTACAACTTGATTGTAAGCCACGAGTAGAAGGTGAGCTCTATTCTTCTACCCAAGTGCACAACCTCAAAAACAGTGCTTCACAAATGTTTGCACACTGTGACCCCATTTCAAGACTTGAAAATTCTCCTCTCGCCTCTGTGTGACCTGAGAGAGCAAATAAGGGTCAGGATGGTGAGTAGCTTGGAGGATAACTTCATAGTGTTCCCTTCTAGATGATAGTGGGCATTGATTTGGAAGAAGCTGTCTAAGGAATGATGCTGAGTTTTCTCAGTGTATCTTCTGGATGGTACACACTGCTGCTACTAAGTGAAAGTCAACTAGATGGGGCTTTACAACAATTGATAATGGTTTCATGCTCATCATTATCTTTTTATTTCCAGATATTTATTGAATTTAAATTCCATCATCTGCAGTGGTGCCATATAAACACTGGGTGCCCAGAACATAATCTGGGTTTCTGGATTTCTTGTCCAGCAACAATGCAACTATACCATTCAACTACAATGTTTCTCTCTCTGTAGATATATTCTGACCTGCAGTCATTTCCAACACTTATTTTTACTTTAGATAACCAACATCCAGAATATGTAGCATTTGTTATAAATAAACTATTAAATATACAATATGCTGCAAAATCAAGCAGCCTGGAGTGGCAGACCTAACAGAAATAGGTAAAGCCAAGGCAAAGTGAAGCATGGGTTCGTGGGTGGGGGGTGGGTTGTGGAGAGATCCATGATGGCAGGTATCACAATCCTCAGTGGCACTCTCCCACAAATTCTATCTCATTCTCTGCAGGGATGCCAGCACTTTAAGTGCAAATGCAAGGGACAAATAAGGGAACTTCCTCTCAAAGAACCACACATCCCACACAAATGCCTTCCTGCACATCAAAGGATTGAAGTAGTACAGTTAGTCAACAGACACTGGCAGCAAGTCACTACCTTTTCAGATATGACTAGTATAGCTGATAATAAGTTGAGCGCAAAGCTATGCCAATAAAATTTGTGTCCAGAAGATATGAACACAAAACACAATTTGGATCTGTACAGCTTCTTCTGTTGAATACCTTTCCAAGCCTGTGTTATCACAAAATAATGAGAAATTAAACAAACAAAAGGTTTAATGGTAGAAATACCATCAACAACAGACAAAACAAACTCTAATCACACTCACACTGATGCTTTGGATGCGCTAAGTTTAGGCAAAGCTCACTCATTTAAGTTAGATGCCTAACACTTGCTTAGAATTAAGGAAGAGAGTAAGCAGGTTAAATAATTATACATGAAATGCCCAATCAAAATTTCTGTCATTTAGTATCCAACATTTAACAATATGAGCAAACAAGTGACACAAACATATTTTCCACTGATTTGCAGCTTTTTCAGTTCTGTTAATCTTCAGCAAGGTTACTGCAAGAGGTCAGGGTGAATCCAAAATGGAAATTCATGGCCAAAGCTTGGACAGAAAGATGGAAAACTTACAATATAAAAAAAGAGACCACGCTAATATTGCAAATGCTGATCTAAGTGAGTGTAGATATGTGTATGTTTCCGGTAGGATTAGGAGTAGTTGATGTTAACTGGAGTATAAAGTAAGAACCAGTTCCTGCAGGAAAGGGCTTGTCTGTAAAGAGTATAGTGACCTCCATTTATACTGGATTGGGGAATGTGAATAAAGTGTTGTGGAAAATTGACCAGCTCCTGCTTCCTTACTAAATAAATATTTACCATATTAACAGGCCCTTAATCCATCACGTCCGCGCAAGCTGAAAAAATGTCTATACCATTCAAAGAATAATCATTACAGCTCGTGCTTACTTACTGAATGAGGGAGTAATGCTGTTCAATCAGATTTGCCCATTCCTTTAGGCTAAGCATTGGTGAGATGTTCACTTCAAAATATTTTCCAGCACGCTTCAGACTTTGCAAAAACTCTTCACACACTTTGATAGCAGTTTCTATCAGTGCAGTGGATAACTGACCAGTTGTTTTGTTGGGCTTGATAGAATCTGAGAAAGGGCAAATGAATATTCCACTAAGTAGAATGTATTGTAGCTGATTATTTTGGAGTTAACAATAGGGTTAGGTACTGCAATCATGAAATCTGGTATGCAAGTTGAAATGAAAGATTCCAAAGGTTGTGCATAAAGTTGGAATGTGTTAATGTAGCATTAAAACCAAACCAGTACACAGACCAGAGGAAATGGCATGGTCAAGAGAATGATCATGCATTGGGTTCATAGAATCAGAAAATCCCTACAATGCGGAAGCATTTAGCCCATCAAGTCCACACCTACTCTCTGAAGAGCATCCCACCCAGACCGACTTGCTCTACTCTATCCCTATAACCCTACATTTCCCATGGCTAATGCACCTAACTTGCACATCCCTGGATATTCAGAGGAAACACACATAGGCATAAGGAATGGTTGAGTAGGTCTGTCTATATTCATTGGGGACTGGAAGAATGAGAAGTGATCTTATTGAAATGTAAGATGCTGTGGAGATTTAGGGTACGTGCTTGGAGAATATTTCCTCATAAGATTGTATGTAGAACTAGGGGGCAGAGCTTTATAATAATTTAAAATAGAGATGAGGAGGAATTGCCTCATTGTTAGCCTTTGCAATTCCTTTCCATGAAGAGCCAAAAAGAGGCTAGGACAATGAACATATTCGCAGGCATGTTAAACTGATTTTTGATTGACAAGGGACAAGGTTATGGGGGATATCAAATAATGAAGCCAAATGGCCTACTCCTCCTCATAGTTTTTATGACCTTATGATCTTATTGAATCTCAGTGCAAAGAAAAAAACCTTTCACTGAATCTGCCAAACAGATAAAGGAAAGGTACATTTTACCTGTCACCAAGGTTGTTTTAGGTCCTTCACTATCATCTGCATTCATCTGACCTTGACCAGTGCTTGAACTTTGTGGAGCATTTGCAGAATTGTAAATCACCCATTTCAATATGCTGATTGCACCAGTAAGCCTGAAGTCATCTGAAAGCAACATTATCTGTTTTAAGACTGGCATTATCTGTAAACACAGTAAAATAAATGTGTATTCTCTCGTTCTCTACTTCTCATTACCTGTTTCAGTTTCAGTAAATTCATGCCTAGTAAAATCTACCCTGGGTTCACTTGAGTATTGGAAGCCTGTATTGTATTTTTTGAGGGTAGACTGCTAGTACTCTGAAGTCTTTGCATCTCTAGTTTAGCCTTAAGACCATAAGACAAGAGAGCTGAAGTAGGCAATCCAGCCCACTAAGTTTGATCTTCCATTCAGTGAGGTCATGCTGATCTTATAAACCTCAAATCCACTTTCCTGCCTTAACCCACAACCCTTGATGTCCTTATTGATTTAAAAATATCTGAGTCTTGGATGCACTTAATGATCCAGCCTCCACAGCCCTCTGTGGTAAAGAATTCCACAGATTCACTATAATTCGAGAAAAGAAATTCCTTCTCATCTGTGTCATAATCAGATGACCCCCTACTCTGAGATTATGCCCTTTTCTCAAGGAAAGAAAATCAACCTTTTTTTTGCATCTACCCCATCAGATCCCCTAAAAATCCTAGGTTTTTCAATAAGGCAGTCTCATGTTCTTCTAAATTTCAACAAGTTCAAGCCTAACTTACTCAACATTTCTTTATAAGAAAATCTCTCAATGCCTGGGATCAATCTTGTGAACCTTCTCTGGACTGCCTTCTTCTTAGATAAGGGGGCCAAAACTGTTCACAGTATTCCTGGTGTGACTTAACTCATGACTCTCACAGTTTGAGCAAGACTTCAGTATTTTTATAACTTAGAGTAATTCTCCCTCACTCTCACTCCTGTAAATTCTTTATTTACACTGAGATGTACGTTATACTGAATACAGCCATCTAGTATAGTGTTTCTCTACTGCTCTGCTTTGAACCTTAGTTACATGTCTCTCTGCTCATGTCAAAAAGTGTCATCATTTACAAAATCATTGTTAACACAGTCATTTCCCTTCATACTACAGTTGTCTTAAGAGGTAAGAAGGTTTTGTTAATTGTATAATTCAGACAAATGTGAATGTGTTAAACTTCAACCAAAGGTCAACAATATTTTTTCATTATGCTTCAGGTTCTTTTTAAACTTTATCATGATAATAAGTTAGGAAAGATGAATGCAGAACAAAAGCATTCTCAAAATTATAATAGCAAGTAGAAAGGAAGATCAAGGTCATTCTCAAAAGCAGCCCAGATGGAGGGATATGGTGGTGATGGGTTGGGGAGCACAGTTGAAGTAAAGGTTACAATAATATGCAACGATTTACCATAATATGTTATGTGACAAGTGGATGTGCAAAAGGAATATTAATTTTCAATAAATCCCCAGGTAAAAACCATTTATAAGTAGTCTGTCATTGGGCAAGTGCAAGTCCACCGTGTGTTCAAGCCTGGATTGTAGACTGAACAAAACCACCATACTAAACATTTGAAAGAAATTTAGTAGAGTCATAAGATTTATTTCTAATATAGATAAGGAGGCACTGCCTGTCACGGTGTACCATTCCACTGGTGAATTAAATAGACAATAGCCAAGCAAAATTATGCACCCACTGTAACCATGCGTTGTTTTGGTGAAGTTAGTTATGGATATTTCAGCATTTACTTTAGAAAGATTTTCAGTTTGCCATACACTGTATTTGCTCGTTTCTTTAGGCGCACATCGACAGAGCCTCTCCGACAGGAAATGAAACAACAGGAATTGTGGCAATAGTACACTGAACAGTTGACCAATTAGGTAACACTTTGAGAGCAATTAAAAAACCCTAAGGCATAAACAGATGAACCTTTGCTTCAATGAGGTGCATTTGCAGTGTTCCTTCAGCGAAGTAAGAGGAAAATGTCAGTGATAAAATTTAGCATATCAGGTTTCATTAAATATGGAGGGGAGCAAGATAAAAGCTAACTACCAGGCGTGTTTTCATATTTCTTTCCAACACTTCTATATGCAATCATTTCTAATTCATCTGATGATAGCTTTTTCTTATATTATTCTAAATGGATAGGAATTTCATACTCACTGCAGAGAGTACGTTCATCTTCCACTGCAGAAACTAGATAGCACCGTGGAAAGAAAGTATCAGCGCTCTCATCCAAATAGGAAGGCAACTTCCTCAGATTCATGCAAAGTCTGGCCTTCGGTGAAATAAAATTCAAAAAATATTTGATCACATAAACATCTGTTTAACTGATGATATTTAAATTAAATATTCATCATCAAAAGAGTGATTCTGAATAGATTTAACACACTTTAATTTGCATTTTTATAACTTTTAATACCATTAAGATGCCAAATTGTGCCAATTTGTGTATTCATTATTGTCATTGAAGCAAGTGCACTTAGGAATTTGCAGAAAGCAATGAAATAAATTGCTATGTAACCTTTTTTGCTGCTGTTGTTTAAGGAATAGATTTTGGTCACTGCTTTATTCATAGATAACACAGTGTGGAGCTGGTGGAACACAGCAGGCCAGGCAGCATCGAGACCCAACCCGAAACATCAGCTTTCCTGCTCCTCTGATGCTGCCTGGCCTGCTGTATTCCTCTAACTCCACACTGTGTTATCTCTGACTTCAGCATCTGCAGTTCTTACTATCTCTGACTGCTTTATCATCTCGTGACTAAATTTTTGTAGATTTAATAGTCCTTTCGTAATGAAAACTGGTAGTGAAATCTGACATCAAATCATGATAAATATAATAACTACAATAAGCGAATGAATGAAATTAGTCAGTTCAAGACTCTATTACAATGTCTGAAAATCTTTCTTTGTGTTAATTAAGGAATAATGTAGAGGTGGCATTTTGTAAATTAATGGTCGATTAAGTAGCTCACTCTTTTCATATTTAAATACAAATAATTCCATAATAATTCAACCTTTATAGATATGAATATATCTGTCCAAATGCTTATACAATAATTTCATGAGAAAGCTACTGTTTAGTTCAAATCACTGACAGGAAGAAAAGACCAAAGATGTGAGGCAAGAGGGCTAGCCTTTCTACATTACCAAAAGGTAATTTGTAAGTTGGATCATATAACTTTCTTCTTCCAATAGTTCACACTGTTTGAACAGTCCAATATCACTTGTTGACCGTATCAGAGGAGGAATGTTGAACATGTTTGTATGACATTCCCCTCTATCACCAATTTCCCATTTAACATAAATAGGCTCAAATAACAAATAAAGGATTCACTGAAATATAATGCCTTACCGCAAATTGAATTGCTGGACTTTAATGACTCATTTTCTCCATAGATACTTTCATGTTACATTTATATTGCCTCTGATAAAGTAAACATTGGAAATGGGGCAGGCAAAATATCCAGAACCGATATAAACTTCCTCTCTGACCTTGTCATTTTTCAAGAGTGTGTAATTGTGTGATAACGTCATGCTAATAGCACCTTTTTTAAGAACACATGAATTTACTATTTTTCTTTATTCTTCCATGGATTATGAGGTGTTAATGGCAAGGCCAAGATTTGTTGCTCATTCCAGTTTTGCTTCTGAAATGGAGTGGTTTGCTATCCCATTTCAGAAGGCAGTTTATAGTCCTTCAACGTTGTGGGCCTGAAGCCACATATGGACCAGACCAGCCAAGAGTAGCAGACCTCCTTCCTCAACAGGACATTAGTGAATCAGATGTGTTTTCACATCAACCAATCATTGTTGTCATGATCCTTATGAATGAGGCTAATTTTATATTTCAGATTTTATTAACCAAATTTAAATTCCACCAGCTACCTGGGAGGGATTTCAGCATGTGCTCCCAAAACATAAGGCTGGGCATCTGAGTAACTATTCCAGTGATATTACCACTACACCACCATTTCCAGCTATTGATCGATTAACTGTGAGTAACCAAAGTCCATCATGTTCACGTCCTAACATCCAGGTCATCAAATATTACAAAGGTAATGGCGTTGCTGCCTAATCAGAGCAATCAATTCCTCTAGTTACTCCAACAAACACAGACATGGGGTGAGAAAAATTGCACAGACAAAAAACATTAAAAACCATCAGTCCAAAGTCACCCATTCCTGCCAAACACACTGCACTTACCATATGTGATGCATAACTCACACACTAAAGATTAAATACCATTTCCCTGGGAATCTGTTTCTGATTAACTGGAAATCAACTTCCACATCTGTGAGTGATATCTGCCGCAGGAAAAGGTAAACCATCTATTGTGCTAAACAATATAGTGGAGAGTAAGCAGCACCATTCTCAACATTTTCCTAGATTTCATACTCATCTACGTGGACTGCTCTAAATGAGGATCTTTAATCCTCCTCCACCTCTGACAAACATTTCTGCCCAGTGAACGTTTCATATTGAATAGTGATTTTTGGAAGCAGAATTTCATAAAAACTAGAAATATCAAAACATAACCACTTTTGCATACGGCTGGGCAAGCAGTGAGAACCACCTTGGGATAGGGAGGAGAAAAACAACAGCTACATTTAAAATATCAAATATAGTCGAAAGGCTTCTCTGCCCCATTCACCTCCACCTTTGCACTATGGCAGTCAAGAAAACATCACTAGCCGTGGTGTTATTACTATGGAAGTTCTATTCCGGTGTCATTGTTTTAATCTTTTTGTATTTTTTTGTTTGATATTTCATAGTTGACCCTCCTTTTTGGTACAGGAGGGTGTGTTGGCAGAAGCGTATCCTAACCCAGTGCCTCTGCCCGGATGCTTTACTTACCTGAGATTTTATCTTACTACAACAGTGCACCATGCTACAGGGATACCTCATTAAGTTGAATCACACTTCTGGTTGGTTTCATCATCAATACCAAGAAATGCTCAGGACTACCACATCCTGTTTTCTGTACTGCTGAATCCTAATCTTGAAAAGGATGAAGAATAAACATCTGCATAATCTTTCTCTTTGAAAATCATCCAAATTCTGTGGTTTTGTCTCATGTCCTATTTACCTACTTCCTAAACTAGCAGCATAAACTGCTCCTGAGGAAACTACTCAAAGTGCAGTGAGAAAAGTAGCAACATTCATGTTGAAATAGTCATAACACCGGAAAAATAAAATAGACGGGAGCTCCAATTTATAAGCGGCGGCCAACTTACAAAAGTGATCCCATAAAGGGGTATAATTTTAAAGGCCCAACAAACAAATATTTCCTGTACTGATGAATGGCTGCTTTACAGTGTTCTGACTTGCTTACAAATCGTCTTGCAAACAAACTCCAGAATGGAACCTATTTGCAACTCAGACTGCCTAAACACATGGATATACCAGATCTAAAACAAAGACCTAATTTTTCAACAAGTTATATAATTCAATTCAATTTACCACTATTTTGAGATACGGAGTACAATTTTCCCAGTTTTCAAAATTTCACTTTGTCACTTATTGACGTGGCACAAATCAAGATTTAACATATTAAAACTGATCCAGCTGTGGAAAATGGGATTAGTGGTGTGACCTGTCAAATTGGTAGTTGGATTAGCAATTCCTTTAGTAACCCTAAAAAATTACATGCAGGAAGTAATGCCAATCCGGCCATTCCCACCAATTGAGCAGCATTTTGACAAGAACGCAACCTTTGTGAACAGTACTACTGAGGCTTTAAAAGGCTCTGGTCAGGCCACATTTGGAGTATTGTGTGCAGTTTTGGGCCCCATATGTCAGGGAGGATGTACTGGCCCTGGAGCGGGTTCAGAGGAGGTTCACGAGAATGGTCCCAGGAATGAAAAGCTTAACATATGAGGAACATTTGAGGACTCTGGGACTATATTTATTGGAGTTCAGAATGATGAGGGGGGCGGGATCTAATTGAAACTTATAGAATACCGAATGGCCTGGACAAAGTGGATGTTGGGAAGATGCTTCCATTGGTAGGAGAGTCTAGGACCCAAAGGCACAGCCTTAGAGTAAAGGGAAGACCTTTCAGAACGGAGATAAGGAGACACTTCTTCAGCCAGAGAGCGGTGAATCTATGGAATTCACTGCCACAGAAAGCTGTGGAGGTCAGGTCATTGAGTACATTTAAGACATTTAAGGTTCTTGATTATTAAGGGAATCAAGGGTTACGGGGAGAAAGCAGGAGGATGGGGTTGAGGGACTTATCAGCCATGATTGAATGGCAGAGCAGACTGGATGGGCCGAATGGCCTAATTTCTGCTCCTATGTCTTATGGTCTAATAGCACTGTGGGTTTTCCTATACCAGATGGACTGCAGCAGTTCAGAAAAAAAGAGCTTTTCATCAACTTCTCAGCAGCAGCTAGCTTTAAAACATCCTCATCCTGTGAATGCAAAATAAAATTAAACTTCAATGAACTCTAATTCAATTCTGGAAAGTCAGATTTAGGGGTAGGAAAATTCAAATTCACTATCTGTTTCCCTCCAGGCCCGTTCTCCAACCTCACTTTCTTTTGTCCTTCATTACCTTCCTCCTCTCACTCACCATAGGGTCAGTGTTCTTTCTCCGGTCCCCATTCCCCTCCACTCATTTTTAATCTCTTAACTCCTCCTTCCCTCTTCACTATTCTCCACTTCTATATGCCTTGCCCTGTAAATACTACTTAAAGTGTTAAAAAACATATTGCCATGATGCCTTAAAACCTTAAAGAATAACAGAATATTTAGAACAATAGTAGCCCATTTATACTTTGTAACATAACTTACATTTACGTAGCATTCTTTACTTGTGGAAAGAAGCCTCACTAAACACAATAGATATGCATTAAGATGCACCCAGTAGCTTACATGCATACTGCAGATTTAGGACAGCATTATATTTATTTTACTTTAAATGATGCTTCTAGCATTAGTAGATTGTTTTACATGATATGATTGATGGTCTACAACTCGGAAAGAAAGATGAAATGAAAAAAATGTTTCATTTGACTTGCTTGATAAAGATTTTAGTTGATAGCGAAGTCAGATACAAGCTCCATTCCTCTATTGACGCAAATGGAGACTGGCATCAGAAAAGCACATTAAGTCCCATAAATGTTAGTGTGACAAATCTAGGAGCTGTTCTTGAATAAAAGATCATTGTGCTCTGGCATTTGCCAGGTGGCATATGGTTACAAAAACAAAGTTGCTGGAAAAGCTCAGCGGTTCTGGCAGCATCTGTGAAGGAGAAAACAGAGTTAACGT